ATATTTTTTTATATATATATTTTAGCAGCTACAGTGGTAATACACAAAAAAAGACTTAAAGATAGAGTGTAACTTGTTGTTTATAGTTTGTCATATGATGCTGTTCATTAGTCAACTTCCTGGACCACATGCTTTCCCACCAGCACTTGAATGCAACACACAGTTTGGCGTAAATCCAAAATCTAGATCACCACCTGTCTGCTGAGTTTCTGCCAAATCTGTTTGTAACATTTTGAGATGCGGAGGACTAAAAACTGAATCTGCTTCCAACTTGCATATAGTTTGAGGAGGGACAAAAACATCACTAGTTAGAAAACCTTTGGAAATAAAATAAAGAAAAATACAGGATAACATTTATCGCTAGACGCCACTTTCCAGACAAGCCTGGACGTCATGTTTGCTGTATTTGGACTTTTTGAAGATTTTGTAGTCGTCAGGTGTTTGATCGTATTCATGATATAGTCTTAAAATAAACTACGGTCAGAAATTGGATTAAAAAGTCATTGATATTTGAGTGAACATCTTCTCTTCATAACAAAGTGAACCCCAATTTGAAAGCAGCATTTGAAAATGATGAAGCACATTTTAAACAAGAATAAAAGATAAACGTACGAGAATATTATATTCAAATTGTATTTGAACTCAAAATTGCTGGGCGTTTTAATATTTCATGTTGTAAATTTTCCTTAATGACATGATATAAAAACGTAATGTCATTTTCTGATGCCGGGATGAATGCATCGTAAGAAACAATTATGCAGGCTTCTAATGGGCTCTGCTGCTAATGGACCACAATGCCCTTAATGTGGTGTCAACGTTATTGAAACCGTTGTTCACAGATGTTTAAACATTTTTCATATCTTAAGACAATGCATGTTACCCCAGGAATCACAGAAGTGTGTGTGTGTGTGTATGTGTGTGTGTGTGTGTGTGTGTGTGTGTGTGTGTGTGTGTGTGTGGGGACAGGAAATGAGAATACTGACTTCGATTGCGCTTCCACAACGTTATCAATAAAATCCAGAGGAGCAAAGAGCTAAAAACATGTCTAATGGATCCATACAGTAGTCTATTGCTGCTTACTATTTAATGCATGCACACACACACACACACACTCTTACCACATTAAAGTCGAGGTTCTTCTCTACCCAGTCAGTAGCAGCATCAAACTCCTCAAACATCTCCATGATGTAGAGGGTATCCAGAGCGTCCACTATTGTCGCTCCTTTTATACTGCCTGCAAGAGAAACCGATAGAGAGGTTAGAAATAGAACAGAACTTCTACATACACATTGTTGTCTTCAACGGAGTGTTGTACATATCATCTGTCGGCTAAATAAATACGGACAAATGCTGGCAAGAAAGCTGGATAAAAAAAACAAAACAACTTTAAAGTTTTACTCAAAATAAGCGAAAAAGTTCATTGGAGTCAGCTCCTTTTATTGTTGAGTGTGAAGAATAACAGGTATCGGCAGCAGTCCCGCTGAGGAAAGCGGTGAACAAACAGCAGAAGTTAAGAGTTATGTTTGGCGGTTGAATGAATTATTTGGCTCGACAGACGGTGAGAGGCAGCGATTATCGGCGCTGATGAAAACGTCGGGAGTGTTGCTCATCTCTAGAGATTAGCCTCATAGCGGGAGGGAAGACACACAAACCGCCGTTACCCAAAACTCCCATTTTCACGAATCCAACCCCACCCCGACGCCTCGGCCTGGGTATGTGTGCCAGGGAGCTCAATGAATCATTAAGCATGCAGCTCCGAGCCCTCAGCAAAGCTTTTAGTCCTAACACACTTGTTATAAACACAAGGTCTCATCTGTCGGAGCGATCTGACCACTTAGAGGCGTGACTAAAGAAGAGAGGAAAAAGAAAATTTGAAATGAAAGATGTGGAAGTGAAGAAAGAGGAACAAGACGAGGAGTAAGGACATTAATACATCAGCGTAGGGAGGGCGACCCTACAGAGAGAAGGAAGGACAAAAACAAGAGGAAAGACACTGAAATAGTGATGAGGATACAAGAGCAAGTCCAAGTCAGTGTTTGAAAATGATGTGCGGAGTCGAGATGACAACCGGGATGCTGCAGGTTTGTTACCGTGAAAATCGGTGGGTTTATTTCCCTCTGTAAGCAGTGGGAGGACGCAAAGGCTGCTAAGAGCTTTCCATTACACACACAATGCTGAATCATCAGCTACGGGCAGAGGGCCACTGCTGTATATCAGAAGCAGCACTGTGCTCACTCTGCGTCTGGAAAATATTATTTCTTCAGCACTGTATGAGAGGACAATACAGTCCAGCCTGCTCGAGGGGAAAATGTAACAACAGTTTTAACCAATGAGAAACATGTGAATTAAGGCACTTTTTTTGGGTGTTGCTAAGTGCATTTTCTTACTTCGGAGAGAGAGGCAGGCTAGCTGTTTCCCCCCGCTTCCCACCCTTTATGCTAAGCTAAGCTAATCTCCTCCAGGCTCCAGCACCATACTTAACTCACAGATATGAGAGCGACATCCATCCCGGTATCCAGCTAATGCTCTTAGAAGAAGAGGAACGTAAGAATGACTCGATAACAAAAAGAACGTGAAAGGTAGAATCACGCATAAAGTCTACATTAAAATGTGGCGTTCGAATTGTACAACGGACCAAACATGAACAGTGTGAATGTTTCGTCAAGACCCAAGCCCTGTGTGTAGACAGAGAGAGCATGTTACTGGAGGTGTCAGCAGATCCAGTTACTGTTGGAGTCGCTTGTCCTTCCTGTTTTCCATCCATCTCACATTTTCACTCCACTGAAGCCCCCAGAGCGACGACGAGACACTTTCCTCCCGTCCATTGTCTTGTCTCTGTGCTTCCTTCCCCCTCACTGCTCATCCTGTATCTGAGTGTGTGTGTGTGAGATGTGAGGGGTACAGATGGTCAAAGAGTGACCTGAATACTAACACTAAACAGAAAGAAAAAGAACATGTTACAGCGGAAAGGAAAGATTTGTGGACAGTTTAGTGTCCTTTGTCCTTCTGTAAAGGATATAGATGTTTTTATGAAATATGTCTTTACAGTTTTTATACGGTCGGTTACTTTATTCTGACTCTCTATATAATTTAACAGGACCAATTTCAATATTATAGTGTAGAATAATGTGATTCACAGTTTTCATGTCGGAGTTCAATTCATCCAAAAGTTGCCCGTTTGAAATCCTGACTACTTCCAACCTCGAGTGTCCACACGTATTGTCGAAAAAGAAAGACTTGCAGCCTTCATAAAAGCTTCAAGTCACGGTTACGCCCGTGAGACTGAGCGGATACATGCACCTGCACAGGGCCGGTGCACACACCTGCATGCATTAAATAATAATTAAATCTGTTGTGCGAGACGTGCGAGGAGTGAGGAGTAAATGTAATGTTTTTGAGCTTTTCTGGACCCATCGGTTACTGCGCAAAATATTAAGAACACGTGTTCTTTCAGACGACACTGATCCCAGAGAATAAAAATGATCTCTGACGTTTGTGAGACAGCTTGTCCGGGGCCAAGAGGAAGCAAGGAATCTGCTAAAATCAGATCACCAGATCCAGGATTTGTGTCAGTGTCCAGATGGGAGGACTATAAAAACTGAGACGGGATTAAGCCGAGGTCTGCGAGGTTACGAGAGCTAAATCCGACGATCTCGGAGGTGCGGTGCTGCCGGGGAGTTTGTTTCCGTTAGCGACCGGGAGCGTGGTGAGGCAGCAGATGGCTCAGCAGAGGGCAGCGTCTATGATGCTTCTGCGAGAGCACGAGTGGCAGCGGAGGAGGAGAGCATCTCGGATGCTTCTAAAAAGACGGAGCGGTAGGGGAGGACGGGCCTTGTGATATTTGCTGTTGGTGGTAGGCTTGTCGCAGCAGGAGAATTCTTACACTTGTAAAAAAGTCTTTCCAGAAAACCATCAACACCAATGTGATCTCCCACAGTCACACGTTTTGTTTTTTTTAAATATTTTCTCCCTGCTTTGCTTCCTGGTGTACCAGTGGGAGTGCACCATATGAAGGAATCTAATTATTTTTTATTGTATGCAAACATTTTTTATAGTTTATTTATTATTATTTATGTTTCATTTTTTTTTTTTTTTAAATATATATATATTTTTTAAATTCTAATTATTTGTGTGCATATATTTTTGCCTTCATCATGTCCTCAAACATCGTGTTGTATTTCAGAGAAAGCATGAAATGACACCGATGAAGCAGAACATGGGAGAAAAGGATGGGAAGATGAACGATGAAAGATCCGGCGTCCTCGGAAGACGAGAAGAATCATTACCGCTCTGTTCGCGGGCAGAGAATAAGGATGGATGGGAGAGGCACGGCAGACAAAAGAGAAAATGGGGGACAGAAGGTCCAAAAGTCATTAACGAGCAGAAGTCCCTCCATTCCTGTGCGCCTTGAAACACAATCCATTTAGCTGTTGCTCTTCCTACATCCAGCTGTCCTCTAATGAGACTTTTCTCTTTTCAGAACAATTCTGTCCTCTTGTCCTTCTTTATCTCCTATTCCCTTGCTTTGATTGCTCCTTGCATCCTCATCCACTCTGCTTTTTCCCCCCTTTCCTCCCTCCCTCGGTACCTCCAACAGAAAATGAGTGAAGAGGGGAATGATGGATGAATTAAAGCAGAAAGCAAAGCACCACACCTCGCATGCTTCATTCATCACCTACATAGGCAGATGTCCCACACACACACACACAAAGTGTTATTCTGCTGCATTTTGGTGCTAAAAACATGAGTATTAGCTGGTTTGACTATAAGTGTGGATGACTGGTCAATACATTCATTCACTGCACTCCTTCCTATGCTGCGGTGTGTGTGTGTGTGTGTGTGTGTGCCTGTCAGTCAGAGGAGTGATGCATTGTTTGGTTGTTCAGAACAAAATAACCTTCGCTTCACGCAATCAGGCGCGAAGACAGAGCTGTAATCTGTGATGCGGGAGTGTGCATGAGTGATTGAGAGCGACTGATAATGTGTTGTTGCTTTTTGTCTTACACACACACACACACACACACACACACACACACACACACACACAATTATAATATATTATTGTTAAAAGCATAAAACCGTATCAATGAAACCAATCAATAGGATACTGCATGAATATATGCTATAGCCCCATAAAGTCATGCATTTTCCTCTTAACAATTACCACTCAATGTGCTCATGAAAAGCTTTTCTTCAAACACACTAAATTGTATATGATAAATATTTTAAGTGGGTGAGGCCATATGATACCTAGATGTGGAGAGTGGGTTTCTTTGCTTTGGGAACATGAAGCGAAGAACAGCAAATGTCATGCGGGATTTCATCGCGCGACCTCAACAGTCGGCCCCGAGCCCTCCAGCTCTGGGTCACACGGAGCTCCCCTTCACTCTGATTCAGCGCCCGCAGCTCCACACAATTCAACCTGAGCACAGGGCCAGGGGGTAAGTCACAGCAGCCGAGCGGAGCGGAGCTCCTCTCCCACAGTAAAGTCAGCCCTGCAACTATAGGTCACGTGAAAAATGAGAATGAAAATCTACCCCTGAAGCTTTCTACTCCCCTCGGTCGGGCAGTGGCACGCTTTCAATTGCGTCCGAAAACACTGAGCGTGACTGACAGAAGAATTAATCAGCCTTAGTCCAGTCCCCCCCCCCCCTCCTGGTTTCATACACAAGTCCCAAGCTTAAACATTCATTTAGTTACCCGTCATATTTAAGTAAAGACCTGTTGATAACGCTTCTAGCTACAGCAGGGCCGTGGACCAGCTCCTAGTTATGCTGCTGTGGGCCTAGACTACCGGGGGACCTCCTATGATACACTGATCCTCCTCTCTCTCCTCCTCTCCTTCTGCATCTGTATGCATTCATGTCTCCTTACTGGACGTTACTCACTTCCTCAGAGTCGTACTTTCTCATCTCGCAGGTTTCCATGGATCAGTAGGGTTACACCTGGATCAGGGTTGCGCCGGTTGCCATAGTCATATTTCTATTACTGCTGCTTCTATTCTATTCTATCCACTACTAATATTATCCTTAGTACCAGTCATATATTAGTTCTGCTATTATTAGTATCATGATGTTACATCCACCATTACTAGTCCTGTTTCATTTATCGTTATTATAGCTGTATATGTAAATTACATGAGTACGGGGTAGACCTGATCTATAGGAAAAGTGTCTCTGAAGGACAGGTCGGGGGAGTCACCTGGCAAGCTCGCCAAGCTGCCGTCACCGTGAT